TAAGAGCAGGTTACACTATGATACTGTGGAAACACTTGCGTGCACAAGAAGTTGGTTGCAAGCTGAGTTGGCTGGAGGTAAACTCTTAACCCTTTTAAGTTAATATTTTTGTTCAATTTCATTGTTGTTTAGCATGTTATGCAACTATTTTAACTTGGCTTGCATTCGTAGATGATGCTACTATTGGAGCAGGAGTGTTGGAAGTATAGGTGTCAATCGGGCGGGTTCGGGCTGAGTTCAATCGGGTTGCAAGTTAGTCGGGTCTCGGGTTCAATAGGTTGTGGGTTCATCGGGTTCGGGTTCAAACGGGTTACGGGTTAGTCGGGTTGCGGGTTCATCAAGTTCGGTTCAATCGGGTTGCGGGTGCGTCGGATTTTGGGTCGGGCAGGTTGCAGGCAGATCGTATTGCGGGTTATTCGGGTCAATGCATCGAGTAACTTACTTCTTACTCATTATCAACTTGCACATTTTATTACACTAATTTAAAATACTTTTCTCAAATTTTAACCAATTTCTTTCTACGTCGTATATATACTTAATTAAAAACAAAACTAGTCAAAATGTTGAATCAATTTGTATGACTTGCAAACTTGTTATGTAATTCATCGTAATTGGTAAAGTACACTAACTAATAGTAATGGTAATATCAACATTTGCAATCAAAAGACACATTAATTGTTTATTTGGTATTCTAGTATTATCTCAATAGTAATTTGATTAAAGTATCTCGTTTAATATAACCATGAAAATCTGGTATTTGGCGTGTGGTATTTGACAAAAGCAGAGTGGTAAAAGGAGTTATTTCGAAATAACTTATTGTCCAAATAACTTTAGTAAACTGTTGTCAAACTAGTTATTTGTAAAAATTACCCAAAAAATTGGACCATTTAAGATTACCTATAAAATTTAGTAAAATTGTTGTAACTTCAATCATAACTCACTCAATAACATATATCCTATACACTTAACCTTAAACTCAATCGACAAAATTAAGTTAGTATATGTTGTTGATCGTATACCCTAAACCATCAATACATTATAAAATAACCACATACTCTAACCATATATCCTTATGAATTGTGATTCTAATATAGGTAATTTAAAGTGAAATTCATACTTTGATAGCTCGACTTAAATTCGACACAAGCTGGCAACTTCCAAAATCAAACTTAGCTCGACTCAAACATTATCCATCTTGAGCTCAACTCGAATGGAACTCGACGAATGATTACTAGCTCAATGAGCCAAGTGGTTTGCGAACAGCTCGATGCTCGGCTTGAGAAAAGCTTGTTCGATACTCGGCTCGTTAGTTAATGAGTTGGCTCGTTAGCTCGCTCGTTTACTAGCCGAGCTTGAGCTAGGTCTAGCTCAGCTTGTTAAGCTCGCAAGCTAGCTCGGTTTGAAGACTCATTGAGCCCGACTCGCAAACTAGCTAGATTTGTAGCTCATGAGCCACTCCAAAGCAAATACAACAATAAAGAAAGTTATGGTTTTCATTGAAGCAACATGATCCATTAGTTATTTATGAGGACCGACCAACTATTGTTATTTGTTCATCATTCTTGATGAACCCATTCTCTATGCAAAATACCAAATTGGCCAATATACATTACAAACACCATTAGCACATGAAATCATGTCGATAGTGGAGATTCTTTTAACCTTCTAGGGTATTCTTTATCCACAATAAACCCCATTATAATTTATCATATTAGGTAATTCAAATAGATAGAAATAAATGAAACATGAAATTCTTTTAATGGATTAATTTCTTTATTCCACGCAAAATAGAATGGTCATCAATTGAAAACAATATATTAGCATAGAGGAACTCATCAACTACTTAGCAGTAAGGACAACACACTCACTTACCTTGCATCAACAGCAGAAGACAGCAAACTCACTTGCCTAACATCGACATCAAAAGACAGCAGGTTGGAAACATTATATTAACCTAAGCATCTCTTTGCCATATACCGCTTGACCTTGCATCCCACTCCTCGCATACTCCTGTCAAACCACCTGCTCTTGTACATGCAAGTACTGCTATATCCGAAACATCCTCATCAAATTTAAGTTTATTTGATTTTAGAACTAACAGAGTAGGATGACAGGGATAAAGGATCTACATGGCCTCTAGGAACTTCATTGCTGGTGGGTTTGGTGGAAGAAAAGCGAGAGATAAAGGAGAAGTCCAGAAATTAGCTCGCCTCTTATGGTTCATTTTCCAGAGAGGGGAAAAGAGGAATTAATGTACCCCATCGCCAGAGGAGGAAGGTTTCTACTCCAATCAATTATATAAAGAGTATGGGCATCCATATATTGAAATAAACTATGAGAAGGCCCTCATGTGTGGCCTGTTAAATGGGCCGCTACTCTGGGCCTTTTCTTGTCCATCGATGGCTAGCTATCAAGCTAAAGTTGGGTTATTAACACCCAATATAGTGGTTGGATTAGTGGTGTTAATGAGCTTGATTATCAAACTGGGCTCGTTGAGCTCATTAACAGGCCATTTTCGAGCTGAGCTTTTCTCGAGCTTGAGCTTGTACCAAAATCGAGCTCTGGTATTGGTATGAGCTCGAGCTGATCATTTTAGTTTCAAGGTCGAGTTGAGCTAGATCAAAATTCGGCTCAGCTTGGCTTGCTTGTAGCCCTAATTCAATCGTATGACGACTTAACATATCAAGTTTAATTCTCGATTTGAAATAAAAGTTCAACTCAAACACAACGTAAATGTGCCAAATTTTACTTTTAGTTTCAAGGTCGACCTAAGCTAGATCAAAATTCGGCTCAGCTTGGCTCACTTGTAGCCCTAATTCAATTGTATGACGACTTAACATATCAAGTTTAATCCTCGATTTGAAATAAAAGTTCAACTAAAACACAACTTAAATGTGCCAAATGTTACTTAAGTGTTGTAAAATAATGATCATGTAGGGTTGAAGTTGGAATAAATGTAGAAGTATAGAAAACAAGTAGATAAATCAAGTAAAATTTTCTAAAACAAATGATTGTTGTAACTAATGGTTAATTTAGTTATTAGACCGTAAAGAATTCCATATATATATATATTAGCCTTCAAAGCATATAAGAATAAATTTAATTAGTCATGCCATCCGTATAAAGATTAAAGATTCATATTTCAATGGCGAAAATTTACAAAACCAAAAATTTGAAAACACCAAATTTGTTTCTTTCTTTTCACAAAAATTAAATTAAATTAAAATACTATAATTTGGTTCTTCAATTTTATGGAAGAGAAAGAGGAGGGAACATTGAGTGTTTCTAATTTATGAAAGTAGAAAAAAGACACTCTTCTTTCCTTCATTCAACAAAAAGTTGAAAACTCAAAATTTTCGTCTTTATTTCTCTCTCATAATCAAAAGAGTCAAACTTTCTCACTTCTTTCTCTTCTCACAAATCAAAACCACCAAAATTCTCACTTTTCTCTTTAGTCAAAAATTCAAATAATTAAATTTTCCTCTTCTTTCTCTTCACAAAAAGTTGAATGCATCAAAATTTCCTTTTTTAAAAGTATCAAATACATTACTTTATTTTATTTATATTTAATTGATAACTTTATTGGATAGTTAAATTAACAATAATTCTCATATTATTTATTTGAAAACTATGTATTATATACAAAATGAAAAAAATAATTTTACCTAAGTATTAAAATATATAATATCAAATGAGTTTCATATTTTTTAAAATTCTATATACAAAATGAAAAAATAATTTTACCTAAGTATAGAATGAAAAAATTTATTTGAAAAACTATGTATTATATAATATAATAATTATTTAAGTGGATTAGGTGAAGTTCGGGTTGAGTCGGTCGGGTTACGGGTTAGTCGGGTTCGGGTTAATTGGGTTGCGGATTGATCGGGTTGCGGGTTTAATCAGGTTGCGGGCCAATCGAATTCAGGTTAATTGGGTTGCGGGCCAGTCGAGTTGCGAGTCGGGCGGGTTACGGGTTGTTGACTTTTAGTCAATTCGGTTTGCGGGTCGGGTTGATCGTGCGGGTTAGTCGGGTCGGGTTCTGTTTTGACACCTATAGTTGAAAGGATGTTTCTCCACTACAAGTGAAGCCAATTTGGTCCAACTCCAACCTGATGCTGAAACTACTGAAGGTAATAAGCAAAAAAAACCTTGTTTCAGTTGTGTGATTTCTTCCAACCTTTGATATATGTCAATGAGATTGAGATAGTTTGTTTAAATGTGTAGAGTAAGCCCCTTGTTTCAAGCTTCTTAAAGATAAATCAAGATTTGTGATTTGATACTTAGCAGGAAGATGTAAGTAAGAATTTTCGAGTTCTCTTAGTACTTTAGTTGATTTCATGATTTGTGAATTTGGATCCTTACTACCGGTTGTTTTTGCTCGTTTTCAGGTTTTGTTTGAGTTTTGTTGCTTTGGCTGCTGCGTGGAACCAAGGAATGCAGAATGATGCATTGTTGTTGTTGTTGCTGGAAAGTGGAGTATGGAGGCCTGAAGTGAAGTCTTTATCTTGTTGTTGTGATGCTGCTGCACGCCTCTGCTGCTATCGAAGTTGTTTTCGAGTAGTAGAGATGTTTTGCTAGCCATTTAAACTTTTGTTTTGCTGATACAATGGTTTTGGTCATTTTGGATTTGATGGTATCTTAGGACTGGATGTTTTATGTTGAATGTTTTGATCTTTTGCTACTTCTCTTGTGCATTCTGGTTTCTGGATTTGATGTTATGAAGTTCATGCTTCAGCTTCACGTAAGAATTTGGTTTTTTTTTTAATGCAAATGGAACTCTGAATTATATTTATCTCACTGAGTGACTGTCATTTGGTTTAATTAATGAACTGGTCGGATAAGTTTCGAATCCTCGACAAACCTGAAATCCGACAACGGGCGGGCCTGGTTGATATTTTACATCCGATAATACAGTTCGATCAGGGATTTCCCGAACCTAAAGTTCCTTCAGGCGGATAACTGATCCATATACATCCAGCCCCGATCAGCCCGATTGCCATCCCTATTAACCACCCGACCGGATTTAATGAGCCGTACCTCCAGGGGTTTAGGGTTTAAGCTTCTCAATCGCTGAACTTAGGGAGGGAGCAACTAGCTAAAAAATGGAATTGCAATCCGTCTGTGGCGGAATTTCCTTTCCGAAGCTCGGATACCAAACTCGCCACCACTCGACTAGTCGAATTGTGAGTACGTCGCTACTGATTCAGCCTTTGAAAATTGAACAAACGAATTACATTCTCGTTCGTTGTTTTTATGGTTTCTAGTCTTCCATTTCTAGGGTTCTTCGTTCATTCAATTTGGGGCCAGATATGGGAGACCTCTATTGGGCACCATCTCGAACTGTACGTTCTGCTTCGATTTTGAGGTTGCTTTGGTAAATTGTTTTATGAAACTCTTCCTTTACTTTCTCGCTCTGTTTTCAGCTGGTTCGAAGAATGTATTTAGGAGAATTGAATTGCGTGGCTTGAACAGAGGAATTATATTGCGTGCTTCTAGCTCTAGTCATCATGCGGACGCCAATTTGAATCTTTCGGAGAAGAAAGGTTTTGGGCTGCCTGCTACTGGAACCTTTGATGGTGGGTTTGAGCCATTTCGGGGCAAATCGGGTTCTGTATCATTCTGTGGATTGACTCACCAGTCAGTGGAAGAAGGACGATTGGTGTCAGCACCTTTCAAAGAGGACAAAGGTTCTTTCCTCTGGATTTTAGGGCCGGTTGTCCTGATTTCTTCTTTGATCGTCCCCCAATTCTTCCTTGGTTTCGCAATCCAAGAACTCCTAAAGGATGTTGTTCTTGTCGGTAAATGGTTGAAACCCCATTCTCCAGTTTTGATTTTATCTTGCTCTATTCAGCTCAATACCCAAATGATTGTTCCATGAATTTGTTATTGCAGAGATGGTGAGTTCACTGTCTTTTGAGGTAGGCTTCTACATTGCTTTAGCAGCCTTTCTAAGCATAACTGACCGAATGCAAAGGCCTTACCTGGAATTCAGTTCGAAAAGATGGGGTCTAATCACAGGCCTTAGAGGCTATTTGACTTCAGCATTCTTCACCATGGGGTTTAAGGTCATAGCACCACTACTTATGGTATATGTCACCTGGCCCGTGCTTGGTGTGCCTGTGGCAGTTTCTGTTACTCCATATTTAGCTGGATGCATAGCCCAGCGAGTGTTTGAGGCCAATCTGGAGAAGCGAGGTTCATCTTGTTGGCCTATAGTCCCTATCATTTTCGAGGTAATAGCGCTTTCAAGAAAAGGGAGAAAATAAATATAACTTTCTGGTTGAGGTTTGTCACACTATTGCTGCAAAGTTTGACAACTTGTACTGTGTTCAAAACAGGTATACAGACTATTCCAATTGACCAAGGCTGCTCAATTCATCCAGAAGCTGCTGTTCACAATGCAAGGGATCCCCGAATCTCCTGAACTGATCGAAAGAGTGAAGGCTTTGATTTCAGTGGGTGTGGCCTTCCAGTTCCTTGGTGTGGTTTGTCTCTGGTCATTGATCACGTTTCTTATGAGACTGTTTCCTTCTAGGCCTGTTGCTGAGAATTATTGATTATCCGTTCGCTAAACTCAATTTCTTGGGTCTCTCTACAACTAGATGATGTAGATTAGGGGTTTAGTAGTGCTGTTGCTTTGTTCTTGGTGGAGGAACCAGGCATAGATCAGTAGAGGGTTTCTGGACGAGCAAAGTATAGTGCTTCAAATGACATTTGTGGTCAGCTCATTTTATTCGCATTTTTTAAGTTTTAACTGTTGGTTCCAGGCTTCCAGCTTTGGCATTGGGATATTGGGTTTAGCTGAAATCAAAATTTCAAGTTTGGCCTGATACTCTTTAGAGCACATGGTCAATGGCTACTCAGAGTTCACAAAATTGTGTCGAGTGTGAAGTTGACAATGAGCTGGATTGCATAGCCCATAACCTTGGGGGATAGACACAGTTCGGTACAGATCATAGATTGTGGTTTACCTTATCAAATTGTAGACCCAGTCGACTTCCAATACATGTTTGCAGCCCACTAGATCACTCTCTTAACTCTCTCAATGAGATTTAAGTATCAATTTTAATTTTGTGAATCTCGTCTCATTCATTCAAACCCACATTTCACTAGAGAGTAGAAATGATCATGTTTTCATATGATATTATGTTAATGTTTATGACTTTATGGTGCAAGTTGAAATATTTTGACTTTGTATGTTTGTTATTTAGTGAGATTTAGGGTGTCAAATTTATTTGTGTTGGATTTATGTTTTAAGGCAAAACAAACATATTTTTCATGGTTATTGGCTCAATTCAATGTGTTTGACTAATTTTTTTTTGGGTCATGTCTATATTTTATTCAAATCTTTTTCGAATTCTTTTTTATTAGCCAAACCTATCGAAATACTAAGAATTAGCCAAATGTTAACTTTCCGTTAGCAATTTTGTTAGTAATATTGACTTGGCAACGTGATACTGACTTGGAAGAGAGATATGAATGTCAACATTTCAAAATTTTAGTATTTTAACTAAGAAAAGAGTTACACTATTATTATTGATAACGTAAAAATGACTAATATTTTGATGCATTACGAAATATTTGGCTAATTAATAGCATTTTAATAAGTTTGGATAATATAAAAGAATCTGAAAAAAGTTTGGATAAAAAATAGACATTACCTTTTTTTCCATTTTTCGTTCAATGTGATTTATCTGGACCATATCGCACTAGAACACACCGTACATGTATGATCGGGTTTGAATGTATAGTATATGATCTGGTCTACGATCTATACTTTAGCATTTTGTTATGAACCGTAGACCGTATGTATAGTCCGGTCTGGACTAAACTGCACCATTTATCAGTCCTATAATTAATAATAGTTTAAACAAATAAAGCCAAAACAAACAATTTCTGCTGTGAGAAAATGTTAATTATTTAAATCTACATCTACACAATAAATAAAAGCCAAATGAGAAAACTTGAAGCCCCATTTCAAATTTCTTGCATCTAGAGTGAAAGTAGGAGGGGTAGAATCGTCTTCACAGTCATTTATTATTTTCTTATTTACAGGAAAAATACATCAATAATGAGATTTGAACCATGGTCTCTTCAAACAAATATAAGAAACATAACCAATTACAATAAACACATTTGTGTGATCTTTTTCAATTAAAAACATACAGGAAGCTTAAATCTGAAACATCATAAGACTTTTCCACCACGGTTAGCAAACAAAATGTCATTAAATCAAATATTGCATATCGAATTGCACTCTTGAATGTGTAGAAGCGATGTAGAATTCTTAACATAGACTTAATTGTTATAACTACCATAAAGTAACGTCATTTTTAAACATATAACTTTTGAGTGAATATGGGCACATGTGCCTTTAAAAGAGGGGGAAATATGGAAAGGTTGAGTGATGTTGGTTTGCTGAACACGGATGGAAAATACACTACTAATGTAAACGGGCCCAAATAGTGCCCCGACCCACTAAATGCTCAACCATCGCCGTCTCTCCAAACTTCCCATAAGACTCAACAACCGACTAATCTCTTCTACCTCTATTGTTACGCCATAGCAATTTTTGGAGGGTAAATATGAAAATATTGAGTGTTGTTGGTTTGCCCAATGTGGGTTGAAAATGCGCTACTAATGTAAACGGGCCCAAATAGAGTCCGGCTCACGAAACGCTCAACCACCCGGGTTGATCTTCTAGGTTGACTTTTGAGTTGATTAAAGATAAACAATGTCCCGGGCTCCCGGCCTACTAAACGCTCAACCATCGTCTCTCCAAACCTTCCCACTGGACTCGACAATCGCCTAACCTCCTCCATCTATATTGTTACGCAAAACAATTTTTGAAGGAGTAATTATGGAAATGTTGACTGTTCTTGCTTGGAGTGTTGACTAATGGATTATTTAGCTTCTTTGACAGTAATGTGTGATCTCTTAACATTAGTTCATTTGGTTGATCTTCTAGGTTGACTTTTGAGTTGATCAAAGATAAACAATGTCTCGGGCTCCCGACCTACTAAACGCTCAACCATCGCCGTCTCTCCAAACCTTCCCATTGGACTCGACAATTGCCTAGCCTCCTCCACCTATATTGTTACGCAAAGCAATTTTAGGAGGGATAAATATGAAAAGGTTGATTGTTCTTGCTTGGAGAGCTTACTAATGGGTTATTTAGTTTCTTTGACAGTAATGTGTGATCTCTTAACATCAGTTCATTTGGTTGATCTTCTAGGTTGACTTTTGAGTTGATTAAAGATAAATAGCTATACTTTTTGTTCTTTTTGTTATGATACTCATTTTCAGTATCATCATTTTTCTGATTTGAAATGTTTTTTTGGTTAGTTTCCGGTAAACAAAGAATATTTTGATTAGTGTTAACATAGGGAATAGCTTCAATCATACCACTTTTACACAAAATTTAGATCTAAGAGCTGAGATCATTGCCGAATTGAACCATTGAAACTATAATGATGATCTTCAACATATAAACATGGTTTCTTTTGAGTAAAATAATCTCATGATTGCAGATAAATTTTTACAATATGATGTTTCTTGATAGTGGTCACTAGCTTCCAAATTTAAAAGTTGGGCTCTAATTACCACAATATAAAAAGCACGAGTGATAACGATAATTGAAGTAGATACAAGATTGTTTGATATCCTTCTCTTTACAAGGAATAAATACAAGGTGAGCATATGTTGTTATGGGAAGGACAAACCGAACTCTTTGTGTTTGTAGTATAGCATGTTGATATATACACATATCTAGACCCGGTCGATTGGACATATCCACCTGGAATTTATTGTCGGGATTTTTGCTCATCAAAACCGCGTGTCAAGTAAGCTCCCTCCTTAATCCTTATATTTTTCTTGATCTGCACATGCACACCCTCATAGGAAAAATGACAGAATTGTAATTTAGGTGCTTTATTAGTTTTGTTTTCATAAGATTGTATTATCTGAGGTGGATGTTCTAGAATTGTGATTGTATCTCCTCTAAGAAATTATCAAGCTAAGTTATAAAAGAGGCTAACCTGAGCTTCCTCTTTAATTTAGATGGTAAGAGAGCAACGACCCACGTCAAATTGACTGGGGGTTGACAGTGCCTGAGAAACGGTTTAGCCTTCTTCAGAGTATCACAAGATGCTAATAGTATCTCAACCAAAGCAATTTTTGTTTTCATGCCTGATGTTGATACAAGTTGTTTACCTAGAGTAGAGCCCCAGCAAGTTAGCTCTTGGAGTTGCGATGCGAAAATGGGTAAGGCAGAAATGGTTTATACAAAAGGCCATACTATGATCATATAGAACGCACTAGTAGAGATAGTCATCAATCTCATTTTATTGATGAAGCCATCGAGGAGAAGAGAGCAATCGCCATTGGTACTCTAAATTTTACAAGGCTATCATAATGATCATTCCTTTCATTTCATGTAAATTTGTATTATAACTGAAGTGATATTACCCCAAGCCATAAATTGCAGCAAGGAATGGTCGTTTGAATTTATGTGCACTGATGCAAAATGCCATGTAGCTGCCAAGAAGGAGTAAGAGTGAACCAATCAGTGTGTTTGCAGTCGAGAAGGATAAAAATCGTGATAATGGGGATGGTTTATGACGATTGACATACATATTGAAGTGATAGAAAGTACAAAGCTGCTCATTTGTGTGTTTAGTGCAGTAGAGTGGTTATGAGTGATTTGGTAGGATTTCACAGTGGTAGGAATTGACAAAAGTTATTATGTGTTGGTGCTTCCACGCATATATTGCTTGCCTGTTTATTTTGTTTGTATATGAGATTTCTATAGCAGATTGCATGTTTTGTATTTCTTTTTCTTTTCCTGTCATTTTAATTAACAAAACTATATATCAGAAAAAACTGACCGATGCATTCCATATACTTGATTTGTACATTGCGGGTTTTTGTTTTCTCAACGAGGGAAGTGGGTGGTTCTTATGAGTGGATGTGAATTGTAAAATAGGTGACCCATACAAGATTGGGTGGGCGCGGTGGACTGTGATTGACCCACGACCCACCCAAAATTTTAACCTCAAGCCATCAAAACTCTAACATATAGCTTTACCAAAAATGAAATCCTTAAAACCACGGAAATTCCTCTCAATTTCTATCATAGGATTGTGTTGTGAGGTGTGCTTAGACAATTGAAAGTATGCTTAACCATAACTAGTAGGTAGATGGCAAGAAAAAACAGTTGTCTTCCTCAAAATGACACCATCTCAAACTACTACTGATTCTTCATTCATTCCTTCCATCAATTTTAAATTGTAATTTGCGACTATAAGTTAAAAAGCTATTTACACTGACAACGTATAGGCAAATGAGGCGCTATGCAAGACCAAAACGTTTGCCTTATTCCTAGTGCAATCTTAAACCTTGGTTATTATCAGATTTAGACCATGTTTATCAGTTGAATATTTTATAATTTATGGACAATTACCAATACCAATATTGCAAAATAAATTATTCACATAATTTATGGATTAAACGTTATTTAGTTTGAAAATTTCTTTCATTTAAGTTTAAAACTATTGAAACTATGTGATCATATGTAATGTATGTTGTAAACCACAAAATCCACGCAACCACCACCCATAATTCGCAATCACTCAACCCAACCCACTCACATGTAATGCTTGTAGGGGGTGTTCGAATGGTTACCATGGTAATTACCAAACCAATCGAGCTAAAATCCTATTAACCATAGAATACAATATCATAACCAAACCGTCCAAACTAATACAACAACCAAGTTAACCAAACTAAAGTCATATTGGTTAATTGGTTAACCAAATTAACCAATATAACATCACATTATTATTAAGTGAGAAATTTTTGGTTAATGCATCAATTCACAATTTATATGATGAATAAAACATTACAATGAACACATAGTTATAGTTAACCCTTACAGAAATACATGCAATTAATACAATTATCTTACAGTCAATAGAAGTATTCACCTAACAAAAATATATGTCAATATTATGGAGTTAATTAATTGTTGTGATTGTGTGAATTGAATTAGTCTCTTAGCCATTATTATAGGTTAAAATGACTTTCCATTCAAGTTTTAATCTAATATATTGTATGAGTTTTATCTAAATTGAGTGTTGTATATCATGGTCTACACTCTACAAATACAAATATACAGAATAAGAACAATATTGAGTTTTATTGTTAATGAATCTAGAAGGAAGGAATGTTTGGCTCTTAAGTGGTCATGCCAAGTATAAAGTATGTGTATACCATAATGGGCCAGACTCGTGTACTCCTGGAGTATACTATACTCCAGGTACTCTTAGTGAGGTATCTCTATCTAGACCATGAATTAAATCTAGTTTGGGGTATGATATTATATCATAACCTCTAATGTATAAGCCCCAAACCTCGATTCTCTAAACTCGAATCAGAATTTTAATTTAAAAAAAATACTAATTGACCGTTGGGATTGACCGGAGCCCAAAAAGGAGATCTAACGGATATTAAATATATGAATAATTACTTAACTGGATAATTTGGTTTGATTGGTTATGAGTGTCTAAAACCAAACCAAACCACCTAAACCAAAAAAGCTAATTTTTTTAACCAAACCAATTATCCAAATTAACCAAACCAAATTAGCCAAACTCTACTAGTTAAAACGGTTACCACGATAATCACACCATTTGAACAACCCTATGCTTGGGTGGATGTGAGTCTTTTTTTCTTTCACTCACCACGTAATGAATGATTCCAAATCCACCCAAATCCGCATAAAACCCATCACTACTCAACCTAGTTAAATCTCGTGTGAAAATCTTTGGGGGTTCTCTAAACTCAAATTTATTTTGATTTTTGCATGAAGTACACGGTCTCAGAACAAACTAGAGGGGCAGATGCGGAAATGCACAATGGCTTGAAATTTCTGGCTAGATAGAAAGTAGTGATGTCGCAAACAAACAAAGGGAGTAGAAAGTTGTGACTTGCAATTCTAACCGCACATCTTTAAGAGGAAGTCAAGAAAATGAGCTTCGAGACCTATCAGGCGTAGGAATGGCAACAAAACCCGAACCCACGGGTACTCACCCAACTCAATCCGGTCAACGCAGGTAAAACTCGTGTTGATGGATTTTGGGCCGGGTTCGGGTTTAAATCTGCTACACTATTCATCGGGTCGGGTTGGGTTTGGGTTTAGGTAAACTCCCCCCATGGGTACCCGCCCACACATATATAATTACTTTCCCGGTATATTTAATATGCTAAATACTATATCTTTCTTAAATAACTAATATTCTTTATGTTTTGTGGAGACACGTATAATTTGTTCTTTCTAATTGTTTAGAATGAAGTTGATATTATGAAGTGGAGAGTGAAGAAACTTAGTTGACGAGGAAGAAGCTTTCAATTAATCTTATTGTTTATAAATGTTTATCTTTAATTTTGAACAATTTGTATTGATTATTTGCGGTTTGCTTGTATGCTCTAGATTGGTGCTTTTTGTATGATTAATTTGATTGAGAAAATTGATGTTAAATTTTTATTTTGAAAAAAACTTGTTATTGTAAATTTTTTACTGCAAAAACCCACGGGTACCCATGAACCCGCGGATACCCAGCGGGTTGGGTTGGGTTTGAGTTTTTCAAACACAACGGGTTTTACCCCGGATTTTTTTGGCGGATAAACTCATGGATTTGGGTTTGAGTTTGACAAAACCCGCCCCAACCCGACCCATTGCCATCCCTAGGTGTTTTGATTGATTATTTGGGAAAAGGAAATTACAAGGAAGCACATTCTAGTTGGTCACTGAATAATGATAATTTGTTTCCACAATTAAATTTAGCAGTTTACATTTTATTTTCTTAACTCGAAATTCAAATTCTCTTTATACAGAAAATCAGATTAATCATGTTTTCAAATGACAGATCCACACCTACCTCTCCGTTTTCTCTTGTTCCTCCACCCAACAAAAATGGCACGTGCATTATTGACCATTATTTATTCCCACGTGGCAGCTATCGGTTTTACCATACTGCCCTTCCCCAAACCGACGATGCAGAAACAATCCCCGCGACGCCAACCGCCAAAAGGACGAAAAAATCTGAAAAGCGCGCGCATTTGGGAAAAATACAAATGGAGGGCAGGACACGACACGAGTTCGACTCAGTACAAGTTCCAGCTTTGAGTAGTCTTCTCTTCGCACCAAACCAAACTCAAACATGGAAGGGAACTTCCCCACAAGAAAATTACGAGGTCACAGCCTCCACCAATGGAAACCTCTCCAACAAGGGAGGGAGAACACGACAAATAATGTAAATATAAATAAATAATCTTCTCTTCTCTACATCCACCTCTCTCCCTCCATTGCTTCTCTGTAATACTTTGACAAGTAGTGCCGCCAGCCATTAAACCCTCTCCAAAACCCCCCTGTTTTCCAGCACCAAGAAGAAAAAAAATGTCAACCACAAGGCTGCTTCAAGCCTCCTCCAAAGCTGGACCACTCCACCATCTCTCTGCTCCTTCCACCTCTTATTCCTTTTCAGTTCGGTTTAGTGGTAATGGAGATACAAAGGATCGAATTCCGATTAGTAACTTCGATTGTTCGCAGAGAAGGTTAGATTCCACGGTGGCAGCGAGGGCCATTGGGGCATCATCCTCAGCTGATCAGACTTGGCAGACTAGTACTAGTAGTGCACAGATCACGGCCATTCCATGGACCGAGATAGATCTGGCTTCCTTGGTTAACAAGTTAAAGATGGTGGGATTAAGCAATCCTACTCCCGCTGCCACCGCCGATGTGAATAGGAAACAGGGGAAGTTTCATATCCAGATGGCCATCGAGAGAGCGATATTCAACTGCCGGTTCTTCACTCTCTTGGCTGTCGCCGGCTCCCTGCTTGGCTCTGTACTATGCTTCATGGAGGTATATCATTAAAAAAAGCAGAGCCCTTTTTTTCTTATTGGTTTTTCGATATATACACTTCTCTGGTTTCTTGGCTAAGGGAACTGAACTATTATGCATTCAAATCTTGTATTGAAGGGTTGCTTTCTTGTGGCGGAGTCCTATTCTCACTACTTCCATACTCTGTCTACAAACTTGGATCAAGGGCATATGATGAAGCTCCTCATAGAAGCCATAGGTATTCTACTTGATTATTTTTTTCATTATTTTAAAAAGGGTTCTAAAAAATTCATGAAAGTTCACTAATATGCCACTTTTCGATCCTGTTTTTTTGGCACATGTAAAACCAGACATGTTCTTGGTGGGAACCGCCATGCTTGTATTTGGTGTCGGCTTACATGCCATGTTTGTGGGCTCCAAGGATTCTCAACACGACAAGCAGACTTGGCTACCTCCAACTTATTTGGAATCTTCCACTTGAAGGTATATGCCTTGCACTTCAACAATAAGATCCATTCTTCCTCTACACACACTCATTCTGAGTAGTTAACTAATGAGTTGAGAATCTGTGCCTCCTCTTCCTTTTGCACACTGCAGTACCTTCCAGCATGGGTGGAAACTCGCTCTGTTTCACAAGCCAAGTCGAAAATCGGCCATGCAGTCATGATGATACTTCAAGTCGGCCTGCTCGAGAAGTTCAAGAACGTACCTTTAGTTACCAGCTTTGATCTCGCCTGCTTCGCAGCAGCTGTTCTGGTTTCTTCAGCTTCCACATTCCTCCTGTCAAAACTCTACACTGGTGCTGAAGATTGATAACTACCTCGATCAAGGGCGTCCTCACCAGTTTTAGAATATCAAGCTACGGAAACCATGCAAAAGAACCCCCATGTAGCCATAAAGTTTGTTCATTTTTTCCATTTAGGCTAAAAAAAGAACACATGAAAAAGCATGTAGCTTCACCTGTATATAACCATAAATAGTTCATAATTTAAGCCCTAATGGTAACCTGATAACAATCAATTAAAGAAGATGATGAGGAAAAAGCATACTAAACCTCATTATATGTTTTGTATATATGTATAAGGATTAAGGATGGCGCCATTGTTCAAGTCTCCATCTTCAGTCTCTACCCATTCATACCAGTCTCAACATCAGACAATCCATTCTCCAACGCACGAACCAAATTCTCGAAGTAAGTCTTGCACATCTTCGTCAGCTCATTCAGCTTCATCCGAAAGGCAGCATACTCGTGCATGCAGCTTCCTTGAACCACAAACCTCTTCATTTCCTTCTCTGCACAATCATGAAGCCTCTCCAAACAAGTTTCAGCCTGCCCTTGCAAGTACTCAAAGAACTGCTTCTTCGCAGCTTCTCCAATGGGCAAGTAATACCCATACGCGTAAGTCCACTTCAGAACCCTTCTGCACTCCACAATCTGCTCCCAAGCTTCAGTCAAGAACATAAGCTGGCTGTGATTCTGACGATGGACTCTTCCAATCTCCGAAACCACATTCTCCCTCACATCCTTCAAGTCTCTAATCGCAATCTGCCTCGATTTCTCGTTCGCTGCCCACCTTTCGTAGTAGTGCTGGTACCTCTTCATTCTTCCCTCAATGACTGCAATCCATCTGGATCCACATCCTTGTACCTATTGCAGGAATACGAGTGGCCTGTCCACGACCCCAGGCACACCCAGCAGAATTCGTGCCGGCATGGAGCTGCACAGGTCATGTGCATACACCCTTCGTTCTTTTCGATCGCCCTGCTGCATTTCGGGCATGGCTTCGTGTTTACTTTCTTCCACATCTCATTTTGAGATTCGGACGCGTTCTTCAGTGACCAGTTCTTCACTGTCTCGCAGTCCACCGGCGAGTGCTTGTCCTCGCTGCAGCTCCAGCAGAAGCTGTGGGAGCAGAGGCACGAAACATCGTAGTTTAGATCTCCAAATGACATGAATTCCACAGCGTGTTGGCAGTTGGGAGCAGGGCACCATTTCCTTCTACTGCTGTTCTCTACATAAGACCTAATTGCGAAATTGGAATACTTTTTCCGATCATTTTCGTCGGCAATTTGGTTGATCAGTTCGTCTCCTACGAGAATTTTGCAGGAAGGTTCAGGGCATCTCAATTGCAGGCAGCGGGGGCCGTCGTTGACGCTATGCGCGATGTATTTTCGCAAGCAACAGCGACAGAATCGGTGGCCGCAGTCCGCGGAGTTGAAGGAGGTTAAAGGGTGCGGTTCGAAACAGATCTTGCAGGTGAGAATGTGATGATCGGAAGGAGGGGAAGTTACCTTTTGAGCTACCGCCGTCGGGAGGCCTACATGGCGGCGGACTTTGAATTCGTCGGCGAACCACGAGTCCTCGGCCTTGCTCGCGTCCCAATCGAAGTGACGGAGAATTAGGGTTGCTTCGGATTTGGGAAGGCAGAGCACGGCCGAGAGCTGGGCGACGTCGTCGTCGATGCGACCGCGGATGTCGGATTCTGTCAAGACGGAGTATGACAACTCTGGCGGCAGAGCGGCTTCGAGCTCGTCCAAAAGGAAGGCGACGGCATTGTCGCTGTCGAATTCAGCCTGATCGTCGGATTCAATGGCGTTTAAGTCGTCGTCGTCGTCGTCGCTGCTTAAGTAGCTGAATTCGGCGAAATTGTCATAGTCGGAATCATCTTGTCGCATTCTTTTTCCGGTAGGGTAAACGAACTTCAGAGTGGCGGTAGGGTTTTTGTTTTTACTTTTACCTTTTTATTTACTTTATATATACTAGCGTAACCCTAATGTCTAGGCGGTTAGGTCTTATTAATCTATTTACTTTTTATATTAATTAATGATTAACATTTCATAATATTTATCGTCGGATAAATTGTAAGTTTGATAACTGCTTTATTAAAAGTGTTATGTTCAGTCACTAGAAATATTTAATTTCAATGTTGGTCACTTAAATTAGTAAAACGGTATATGTATGGTTACTCTCCGTTATTTCCGTCTAACTTCATTAATGGATTCTGTTATGTGCTGACGTGGCAAACAAAATCGTCTAGTCAGCCTGATTTAACCCGAAAATAGTGAAACTAGACCTGCCACGTCATCACATCCCGCCATGTCATCTTGCCCCAACCCAACCCGACCAATACCCATTTTTTTTACCCAACTTGATCACTTGTTCTTCCCTTTGTCTGCAATCTTCATCCTCACGACAATCCTTCATTGTCATTCCAGTTTGGCAAAGAACAATTCGTTTACTCCCCTTTTGTTTTCAACTCCACTCCTCTTAGCTTTCTTGGATAAGAGACACTGCATTTGCCAATTCTCCGTCCACGTTAACTCATAGTCAAAATAGATCTTGTTAGATTCTTTATATTAATTAATATTATTTTCTAATTTATTTTAAAATTTATATAGATTAAAGCAAAATATATTTTCTCAGGAAAAAATTAGATATGGTAAGGATAATCTTGTATTTTGTTTTGGACTTTGCTATATAGGAAGAGAGTAGTGTGAGAAAATCCTCCTGATTTCTTGATCACCAGCTAGGTATCCGTTCTTGGGCCTAGTTGGTCGTGCAGACACTTGTGTCAGTGCATTTCTTTCTGCTCCTTCTATTCCTATTTGTTTGAGCGCGATGGTCGACTCTGTTCTAAATAATGTTCTTAATCGAGGTGTTTCTATAAAGGCATGGGCAGAATTATTTGGCTTCTCATAGGCAAATCGGCTGTGTTATGTGAAACCAAAGGTCTACAAGGGTGGTCTGAGGATGCCTAAGTTCATTCAGGATGAGGGAGCTACACGATGGAACCACAACCGTGTGGCCTGTGGGCAGTTTCTTCATCAACCTCTAGCTCTTTCAATTCTTAGGCGATGAAGAAATAAGATATGGGGACGTGATAGGCTGGTGCGGGTCTCGCTTCTTGGAGATACACTTTGTTGATTCAACTCTCATCACAAGTACTTGCGAATGGATACATAAAAATGGTACGTGGTTAAATTCTGATTACTTGCTATATCTACGCCCCTAGACGTCGAGAATTGTTATTGCAGATATTGGTAAGAAGGCAATTCCAATTTGGGTAAGTTTCTCTAATACTCATCTTGAGTATGTCAACTACCAAGGGCTTAGTCGTGGGTAGTTGGCTTGGAGTGCCTCTTGTTGTGGATCAGACAACTAGAATGAGTGGTCTATTGGAAGTTTCCAAGGTGACAGTTGAATTGAGGGCGTTGGGTAACTTCTCATATCATGTTCTTGTTTGGTCGGAGGATGATACATCTATCAGGATAGGGGTTCAATATATAGTCATCAACCTTTTATATGCAAGGCATGTTGCTCATTTGGTTGGATTATTATGGATGTTTTTAATAAGTTGAGTGAAGATGAAGTATCAAACTGTAGGTGGTCATGAAAAAAGGTATAAAAAAGTATGTGAGGCAGCCATCCCCTCCATGAAGATCTTATTTTGGAATGTTTGAGGGTTTAACAAACCCTCCAAGAGAAGGAATTTTCTCATGTCCTTCGTAAAGTATAGAGTAGGTGTAGTGGCAATTATAGAAACAATAATTAGGAAAAATAAATCCGAGGAAGTGGCTGCATATTTTTGTTCTGATTGGAAGAGGCATTTGAATTATGTTAAAAGTGATTTGGGTATGGTTTGAATATTCTAGGATCTGCATTGTGTGGATTTGATCATACTCGTTCCTTGGAAGTATTATGTTCTTTGTCGCGAAGGATGGCGATAGTTGTTTTGTGATAGTGGTCTATGGTTCAAAGGAGTTAGAATGAAGGTCTACTTATCAGGATATTTCTCGATTAAAAGTTAACTTTATTATTGGCTTAGGGGTGGACTTTAAAGCGGTTTTTATCTCTAGTAGACACTTCAAACTTAGTGAATACAATGAGTTGTATGGATGATTTTGGTGCATGGGTATCTAAAATGGAATTGTTTTATATATCATTTCTAGGTTGGACCTTTATTCACCTAGACTAATAGGCAAGAGAAGAACCCAATTTCCAGAAGACTTGATCTAGCTTTGATGAATGAGGTATGGCTTGATTTATTCCTAGAATGTGGTCTAGAAATTCTCATGATGCTTTCTCGTATCATTGTGAAGTCCTTGTCTCTACAAAGCCAGCACATGCCCCTCCCAAAATCGTTTAAGTACTTGGAATTTTTAATACCATCCAATTTTTTTCTTATATTGTTCATTGTAGGTGGATTAGTAATAACACCTAAATTGGTATTATTTACCCTTCATATTAAGGTTTATTTCGTGCCAATTCATATGCATAATTGCTTGAACATTGTCAATTGCATCCCTATTTCGTTCCTATTTGAATTTGATGTGATTTTAGGGTGCTTTAGACGATACATGCGAATTAGGTACAAAACAAGGTCACAAGTGTAGCAAGGGGGAAGAAGACTGAAGATAGTGGCCTAGAAGTGAAGATCACGGCTGAAATCATGGACCGCAAAGTCAAGTTGAAGATCGAGGCATGGAAGCCCAAGATCGATGCCGCGAATTCGAGGGCTCAGGGTGCGAACTTCATGAAGAAGGAGCCATGGAGAAACAGAGAGTTTCCTCGGTTGGTTCACGGTCACAATGTAAATTGACCGTGAGGAAGATCGCGGCCGCGACTTATGAATCACAACCGCGAAGTCAGCCCGCAAACTGCTCGTTCCCGAAGGCCGAAACGGCAGCGTCGCAAGATCTCGGCCTCGCCATTGAAGATCCCGCCCGTGATCTTTACCCTGTCTGGCTGCGAACTTCTCCGCCCTCTGATGCCTCTAAATAAAAGACCCCATCCCTTTCATTTGGAGAGTGGATTTTGAGATAAAGCTTCTGATTTTAGAGAGAGAGAAGAGAGAGAAGCTAAAGGAAGAAGAGAAGAAGAAGAAGGAGGTAGAAGAGAGGAGGCATCTTCCTCAACTTTAAGACTTTTTCAATCTCTTCTATGTATCTTATTCCCTCCTTTATGGAGTAGTCCTCTAAGGTACTAGGGGTTCTAAACCCCAAACCCTAGTTTTAGGATTTACTATGTATGTATGAATATTTTAGGGTTTGAATGAATGAATGTGTTTATCTAGTTGATTCTATTGCTATTCTAGCTTTGACTGTGTTTGGGTAAGTCGCCCTAATCTTCTCTACTAGCCTACTTTATGCTTTTATGCTGGGTTTGGATTTTTAAAGTTAGACGAGTATGCTTCATTAAGCGAATCGTGTTAGATGTATGAATAGGGACCTTTGGTAGTCGACGCGACCAAACCCCTGCCATAGCTAGCCTTCCTAGAACCCGGGATGAAACCTCGGTGTGGACAGTGGATAGTATCCATTGAAAGGATCTACGAGTTTAATGCCCTAGATACGATAGCTTAAGCCCACGGGAAAGTGCTCACTCACCACATTCGATAAACCCTAAGTATCTAGACATTACATTGTAGCCCTAGCCTAGGGTGAGGGATAGTTCCCCGAAGTACCTGCTTTTAGGTTTATCAATCTCTAGACAAGTTAATTCGCTCAAATCCTCCACACAAACCCTCAAACCGATTGACTAAATAACAACTAGGTGGGAAGTAGGCTAGGGTATCAGGACCCGAGTAGAATACGACCTTGATTGCCACTATACGATAATGCCATCTTGGGTTAAACTTGACATAGGATGGGGTAGTTGTTGACACGTGCTAACCATTGACAATAACTTGTACGGATGAATGTGTTCACGCTTTTTGGCACCATTATCGGGGAACCTTGGTAACTAGTAGAAAACCATTAAGTTGTTAGTTTAGTCTTTACTTTGTTTTGTTTGTTTGTGTTTCGTTATTTTTGTGTTTGTTTCGTTTTGTGTTCTTGTTCTTGTTCGTGCTTTTGTTTGTGTTTTGTTATTCAACTTCGTACATCGCAGGTGGTTAAGGTTGTGTTTTGTAGCACTTTTGTATGCAAATAAGAGATTTTTTGGAGATATTACCTCTTGATACTGAAATCGAAAGAACCTTTCGGAATCTGAGAAGAGTTGCAAGGCCTCAATCTCCACCAATGGCTGATCAACAAGCTCAAGTTTCACCAAGCCTCAAGGCCAAGAACAATGGGTTCTTACTCTAGCCCAAGTGTGGATAATGTTCAATCACCTATTCTTCATCCAACTGTTCCCAACAACGACTATGAGATAAAGTCGGGCATGATTTCAATGCTTTAAAGTGCAGTTCAATTTAGTGGGATAATGAGTGAAGATGCTCATGCACATGTCAAGTCATTTTATGAGTTGACAGATGGAATCAAAGTCAATGATGTTCCTCAAGAGGAAGTTCGCCTAAGGTTGTTTCCGTTTACCTTGAATGGAGCGGCCAAGCAATGGTTGACTAATCAACCACATCACTCCATCACCTCATGGGAGGATCTTTGAAACAAGTTCTTCACAAGGTATATTCCACCTTTTAAGACAGCTTTAATGAGAAGTGAGATTACTATGTTCCGTCATGAGGAAGATGAGCCATTGTTTAAAGCTTGGGAAATGTTTATATCGCTCTTACTCAAGTGCTCACATCATGGTAGAGCCAATTTGGTTACAAGTGGAAACTTCTATAATGGTTCGACAAAGGAGTCATGAAACCTCATTAATGCAGCTAGTGGAGGTGCCATTAGGAACAAAGAAGTCGGAGAACTTCAACAATTGATTGAAGAGATGGCCCTCAATAATTACGATTAGGGTGACGCAAGGAGAGGCAAGAGCATGAAGAATGGAAATTTAATGAAGTTGAAGAACCATCATCGGTAGCGGCTCATATTCAAGAACTTACCAAGAAAATTGATCAAGTTGCATCATCAATGAAGAGAAATTGGAAGCAACTTATGAAATGTGATTGGTGTGGCGACTCAAGTCATACTATGGAAGAGTGTAAGTCTATGATCGAGGCTTCACTACAATTTGAGCAAGCCAAATTTGTTGGAGGAAAATCTCGAGGAAACAATTCTTATAGCGCAACATATAATCCGGGTTGGAGGAATAATCCTAACTTTATTTGGTCTTCTTCGACGGATAGAAAACCTCCGGGATTTCTATCTCAAGCTCCAATGCAAAATACTTATTCAAGACCGAGTCAACCTTCATACCAAGGAGCGTATCAAGAACAAAGTCGACCCTCCGATGGTCGAGTCTCTAAACTTGAAGACTTGGTAGGTCAATACGTTACACACTCCAACAAGAAGTTTGAAGCTATTGACAAGTTCATAGAGGGTACCTCAACCAAATTCTCAAGTTTGGAAGCGGGTCAAAGAAATCAACAAGTTTCACTTCAAAATCTTGAAGCTCAACTAAGTTCGTTGGCTCAAACTCTATCGTTAAGACCTTAAGGAACTTTACTAAGCAATACCGATCCTAATCCAAAAGAAGGGTGGCATGCGGTAACTCTAAGGAGTGGCCGACCTTTAAAGGAGATTCCTATCTCATCTCCGAGGATTCCGGTAAGAAAAGTTTAACGTGAAGACGTTCAAGAAGAAGAGCTAGTTCGGAAAGAAGAGCAACCCCCTATTGAAATAAAGATTAAAGATGACGAGAAGTCAGAGAAGACTCAAGTACCCGATCCAACACCAAAAGTTTCTTATCCTAGACGATTATTTGAAAGAAAACTCTATCATGAATGTGCACCGTGGAAGGATACCTTGAGCAATTGAAGGTAACGGTTCCTTTCCTAGACATGGTAATGAAGATTTCTAAAGATACAAAATTCTTGAAGGAAATATTGTCGGGAAAGAGGAAAATGGAAGAAGTTAGCTACGGTATCTGTTAATGAAGTGGCTTCAGCATCCATTGGGTGTGGAGGATTCCATCTCAAATTACAAGATCTGAGAATCTTCACTATTACATGCACCATCGGAGTCAAAAAAATTTGGAATATGTTTGCCGATTTGGGGTCTAGCATCAACATTGTGCCTACACGGATATACAATGAACTAGACCTTGGACCATTCGTACCTACTAAGATGCGGATTTAGTTGTCTAATAAAAAACAACCGATCCTTTTTGAAAACCAAACCATAACTCAAACCACAAACCGGTTACTCCGGAGCAACCCAAACAACTTTTTAAAATAAATAAACCAACAATGTTTAAGAATTTCAAACAAAAAGACTGAACACTTGGGCAAATGACAATCCCAATACTTAAAATGAATGAAATTAGAATATCCAGTTTACACTTCTAACCATGTAACAAAGAAATTAAACTATTCTAGCTCTGACTCGTCACGAGTTCCTTGACTTCTCATCAATGCTGGTGCAGCTACTCGCCTAGCCTTGCCTCTTCTCGATATCCGCCTCTGCTAACCCTTCCTCGGCCTGGTGAGTGAGAAGGGGTCTGACTCGTCATTACTTCCTCAGGTCTTTGCCCTAATCAACTTTCTACTAAGCACAAAAGCCACTCTCGCTTTCTGCTCTTAAATAATCATCCTTACTAAAACACGTTATTCGGGTTCTTGACTTAGACAAAAGTTGTTCTCGCTTTCATACTCAATAACTTATTTAAACATTAACTCATAGAAGTTCTCGACTTCTACCCTTAAGCCAAACACAAAACACTAGGACCACCGCGTTACGTCTCGCCGTCCGGTGCATACCCAAACTTGGAAATGACACTGCGTTACGTCTCGCCGTCCAGCAGTGACCCCAACATACTCGATCAACTGCTGCGTTACGTCTCGTCGTCCAGCAGTGACCCGACCATCTACTACGTCCAACAGTGGCCCAACCGCCCGGGGGTTCATCTTACCATTAACCAACTATTACAACCATACATTCATACATAGCACAACGCGTGCCTCCACCCTTACAAGCGGTGGGATGCCTCACACGCATATCGCGCATTACTCAAAAATTAATTAAATAATGACTTGAAAGAAAAGCATAAACTACAAGACCGCAACGAAGCTTTTACCCCCTTTACACTCACCTCAAAAAGATGACTCCTCGATTCCTTCCTCGACGAAACCACTCCTTAGCTGGATTATCTTGGGGAAACCTATTAATAAAAATCCATTTTCTTAGACGCCCTTTCTTGATTTAAAACCCCTTCTGAATCACTAGAACATCCTCTCCTCAAACTCCAGTCCTCGAGTCTCATTACAAAGGTCCCTTAACCCCCATTAAAAAAATTCTATAATTAATCCCTTCAAAATCGACCATTTTTCTTAATTATTTTTTTCTTGGACGAATTTTTCACCTAACTACAACCTTCTTAAAATTTTAAATAATAATTTTACCATGTCAATCATGAGAACTTATACCCTGAAACCCTTAAAAACCCCTCGGAAAGATTTTTATTTAATTAAAACGAATATTCAAAAAATTTCTAAAAATAGAAATACATCTTCAAAAATCACCAAATTAAATTACAGCCATATCCTAGACCTCCCACAATTCATAAAATTATTAAACCCAGGAACAAACACTCACATAGACTCGAAACAATTAAAAAATCCAAAATACGTTTATGGAAATTCCCAGCAGTTTTAGTGACCAAAATCTGTCACTAAAAACCTGTAACGCCTGTTGCTAAAAACCCAGAATTGCACCCTCACGAAAAATCCCCAACTTAATCGACCTAACTCAAAGGGATCGAGTTCCCTTACCTCTAGAACGTGCCTAGACCTAGGTTGGATGGCCCGGGACGTTGATCTCCTCGTTGATCGATGATCGAACTCTCAAACGTCACTGCTAATAAAATACGAGTTTCGGATTAGACTATCGATGAATCGAGTTTAGAAATCGCGAAGGGGTTCGTGATCCTTACCTAGAAACACGAAAGGGATGAGATCGGGGTCGGGAAATCGTGATCGGGCACAGGTGGCGGCGGCTCCTTCTTTTCTCCTCGCGCTAGGGAAATTTTCCTCGTGTTGGGGATGAAAATTGTTTCGGCGGTGGGGTTTTCTGGGGATGGGGTGGGGGTCTGGGGAATTAATAAATATGGGGGAGTGGAGGCGCCCGGCCGACCGCCCCACTGTTTTTTATATATTAATTTTTTAAATAATATAATAATAATAGTTATTATTATTCCTAATCCGTGCTTGTAGCTCTTAGTACGTAACCATCACTCCAACCGATCATTTATTATGGTCGAACCCAAATCTAGAATATCAGGGTGTTACAGCCAATAGGTCCATCATCGAGCCAAGAGGAATCATAGAGAACGTCTTGGTGAAGTGTGCTCATTTTTTCTATCCGATGGACTTCGTGGTTCTCGACATGGAGGGGTATAATGCATCGATTATCCCTAGAAGACCATTCTTAGCCATGACATGGACTATCATTGATGTAAGTGGAAGCAAGATCACCTTAAGGTTTGCTGAGGAGGAGATAAGCTACAAGATGACTCCAATCCCCAATTTTCACAAGTATTACAAGTTGGACTATATGTCAAGATGGATTGTGAGCCAGTCACACCCCTACCACACCGCCTTCAAGTCCCAAGATAGAGTGGTTCAATATGGTCTCCCGTATTGACCCTCATGATAGTAAAGTTCAAGGTGCAAGTGACTCTTGCAAAACTATGAGGAGACCAGGCAAGGAAAAGTTTCATTAAAAAAGGGAAACTCAAGAGTTGTTTGAAGTTTCTCATTAAGTCAATGATCATAGAAGGAAACTCAAAAGGTTCATCTTTGAAGAGAGATATCCCAAGAAAGGAAGTCGGATGGTTAAGAACAATCTAACTCCTATATTTGAAGATGAAAAATTCGGGGAATGCTATAAGCCATTCACGGATGATAACACTTGTGCAAGGGAGCTTGGTTCCTTCAATCATATACATCAACCTTCAAATGGATTTGTCCTATCTCAAGCATCGGATGAGGCATCCGAGAGACTCCATAGTCTTCACCTGCGACTTCACCATAAGTATGATTTCTACGAAGAATCATCGATGAAGGATGGAGATCTTGCCTTTTGATCTCAAGGAGTCAAGTCCGACGGAAATACTATTAAAGACGCGCTTGTTGGGAGTCACCCCAATAACTCGGGTTGCGTATGTTTTTTTCCTTTTTTTTTTTTTTGAATAATTGCTTAGGTAGTAGATTAGAGATGCAATGAGAATGATTGATATAACTTAGCCCTTGTTTTTTGGATGTTTGAATGATTTGGATGGGTGATTAGGCTTAGGGAATAGGAAAAAGCATGTTGTCCTGAACAAGGCAAAGATCGCGGTTGACATACTAAATATCGCGATTGCAATCTTGTCTGTGCTTATTTCGAGGGGGAACTCACATTTCACCCATGTGTAGTTTAGCATTTTATCTTTTTGGATCTACATGCCATGTTTCTCCACTCCTCTTAGCTTGATGAGCATACCTACTCTATTTTCACTTTCCATCATCTTTTGAGGATGATTTTTACTGCTTTTGGATTCCCAACATGTCTCATAGCAAGATAAGGTACACTTTCCCATGTTTCATATTTTAATCACCTTGTCTTGCTCAACATGTGTTGAATGCTCATTTTCACTTTGGCAAGACCTTTTTTATGGAATTGAATTGCTTTTATTCTCTTTAAGCTTGCTATGTATTTTGGGAGACCTTGGTGGGCAATTTCCATGCATTTCTTTTGTTTTCTAAAATTGCCCACCAAGTGTTCGTAGAAAGTCCTCAACTACATAGACTTCATTCTCTTCAATCCTATTCATTGAGCATCAATTTCTTTGCATGGGTTAACTTTTATTACTTGATTTTGCATTGATTTGGAAGATCCTAGTGTTTATTATTTTGGAACTATCTCTCCATCTAAGTTTCCTCTCTTGCTCAAGTCTTAGTTTCACTCAAGTGTGTGTGGCCGGGGGGGGGGGGGGGGGGGGGGGGGGGGGGGACTTAGAGGCCTTATGATAGTCCATTGCAAAATGATCCTTATGATATGTGATGATTGGATTGATGGAACTCGGAGGCATGTGGATAACCATGAAAGCCCACGGAAAAGAGCTCACTCACCACATTCGATAAACCCTAACCCTAAGTATCTAGACATTACATTGTAGCCCTAGTCTAGGGTGATGGACAGTTCCCAAAAATACCTGCTTTTAGCTTTATCAATCTCTAGACTAGTTAATTTGCTCAAATCCTCCACACAAACCCTCAAACCAATCGAATAAATAACAACGAGGTGTGAAGTAGGCTAGGGTACCAGGACCCGAGTAGAATACGACCTTGATTGCCACTATACGACAATGTCATCTTTAAACATGCCATAGGATGGGGTAGTTGTTGACACGTGCTAACCATTGACAATAACTTGCACAGATGAATGTGATCAAATAGTCATGTGCAAGGGATGCCAATTATGATTGTGAAAGCCAAGTTGAATGAAGGGAAAAAGGGCTTAGGAAGTTAAATAAGGATGTATACACATATATTAGTGACCCGGTGAGAGAAGTAGAGAATTTTTTTTATTATCTGCATAGAGTGTGGCTCTTAATTAATGCTACTAATTTTGAGGATGTTGCGTCATTACAGAGGAACCTTGAGGAATTAAGAAAGGTTCAGAAGCGTTTGTATTGGCAGAATTCGAGAATTAGATGGCTAACACTGTCCAATAGATCTGCTCGGTATTTTCATCAGACTGTTAAGGTCAAAACTTCTCGAATGGCAGTAAGGAAGATCATCATTGAAGGTGGTGAGGAATTTACAGATGTAGGGAAGATTGCAGATGAATTTGTCTCCTTTTATAAATTATTGTCTGGAAGAGTAGAGCCGAAAGTTCAACCTAACAGACAGTTACTATCAGAGCTTGTGAAGAAAAGGTTAACAGATGAGGAAAAGACTATGATATGTAAGCTTGTTACATAATAGGAAATAAGGAAGGTTGTTATGCATATGAATCCACATAGGGCCCCTGGCTCAGATGTTTTTTCGGCTGGTTTTTTCTATCAAGAGACTTGGTCGATTATTGGTGATGACATTATTGCAGGAGTCTTGATTGCTTCGTCTAAGGGAGATTTCCAAGTAGTGTCAATCGTATTGCAGTCCCTCTAATTCCTAAGGTTCCTTTTGTCATCATGCTGAAAGAGTAAGTCAATTTCATGTGTTAACATACCTTATAAAATCATTGCAAAGCTTCTAGTAGATAGACTCTCATCTTATATAAGTAATAACTAGTCTGCGTTTGTACATGGTAGGAGGATTATGGATAACATACTCATGGATCAAGAACTAGTCAGTGGCTAGAATAGGAAACACTTGTCTTCCCGTTGTGCTATCAAGATCTCATGAAAGCCTTCTATTCAGTTAATTGGGAGTACTTTTTTTTTAATGATGGATGTTATGGGGTACCTAGCAAAGTACTCTTATTAGATTACATAATGTGTGAAAACTGCTAGATTCGGTATTAAAGTATTAATGACAGTTTGTGTGGTTACTTTGGTATCTTAGGGGGTGAGATAGGGTGATCTCATCTCATCTGGCCTCTTCACAATTGCTATGGGGAGTCTTTCTATTATGCTAAACAATGTTGCAACTTGAAGTTCTCTGTCTTTTCATCCCCAATGCAAACGAGTCAATATAACTAATTTATGTTTCGCGGATGATCTCTTCATCTTTACTGAGGGGTCTGCTTAGGTATTTAATAGGATGTAAAATGTATTGAATGACTTCTATGTACTCTCGGGTCTCAAGTTCAATCCTAGGAAATGCGAGGTATCTTTTGGTGGTAACTCAGTGAACTACAAGTAGAATACTCTCCATCTCTCTAGTTTTTCAGGAGGGAACTTTGTCAGTGCGATATCTTGGTTTGCCTTTGTTCTCGGGTAAGCTCTCCTCTGATGCCTGTGACGAATTGGTGGCCAAAATTACTCAGAAAATCAAGTCCTTGAGAACTAAAAAGCTGAGCTGTACTGGGAGGCTGCAGTTAATCTCCTCAGCCCTTATGCGAGTATTGCAAAATGAAATGAATGTATTCCGTTTGCCTAAAAAAGTGTTCAAACAAATTCATAATGTCTTCCAAATTTCTATGGCATGGTGGAATGGAGGGCAGAGCCAAAATTGGTTGGGATCAACTGGCTAGACCTAGACTAAAGCCCGGGAGGAGGTTTGGCTTGAAAGATCTGTTAGCTTGGAATCAGGCTTGGATATTATGTTATAAGGTTAAGGCAAGTAGCTTACGGACTATAAGTTTTTTGTCCTAGTAGTTCCTGGGTATGGCGTAGGGTCTTGAAGATGAGGCCATTGCTGATGACTCATATGGCGATGCAAGGTGCTCTTGTTGGGATGGTAAGCTCATGGCCGCTTACAAGGTATTCATATTCTAGAACCCTTTGAGAACTAGATTCACACCGGTGGAATGGGCAGGTTTGGTTTGGGGAAAATGCCACATTCTCAGCAATACTTTCTTAGCTTGGCTGGTCATCATGGATGGAATTGTAACTAAAGGAACGCTGGTTCGTTCGGGTAAGATAACTGATGGCGACAAAAACAGGTTAAAAAAATACTACACGAAGGTAACTGAACAACATCAAAGAATTTCACCGAATATAATAATTAAAAAACATTAACGAAAATGCCATGGCCTAGCTAGTGTTCATAGGTACATCTAAATAGCTGTTCATTCATCCCAAAATGAAGAAATCTACCAACGGGTCCCCATTTTCTGGCCTTCGCCAGCAAGACGCACTCCAATCTTTTCAGCTCTGCATACTCTTATCCATAGTAGACGTAATACTTAGCTGCAGTTCTGGTCATGGAAGTGCTGTTACCTCTGCAATTCGGCTCTCGACTGGGGCAATTTGGAATTTTCCGGCAGCTGCTGGTACTGGTTGCAGCGTCCTTAGCTGCCATGGACCCGAAGCTGCAAGGAGTGGAGCATGAGATTTGAATACATCTAGCATTCTTCTCGATCGAGTTGCAGAACAACAAGCAAGCAAAGCACTCAAAGAACCCACATCATGTAGCCCATAAAGATTGTTCATTTTTCATATACTAAACAAAGAACACTTCATAAAACATGAAGCTTTATATATCCATGAATTATTGATCATAATGTAAACCCTAGTTTTGTAACCTGATAACAGTAAATCGAAGACGATGAGGGGGAAAAAAGCATACCAATCCCTCATTGTTTATTTTTATACATAGGAATGACGCCAGTTATTCATCCAACTTTCCTCTGTCTCTTCTTATTCATACTGGTTTTATCACAGTTCTCCATCTTCCGTCTCTTCCCTTCAATAGGGGTCTCAACCTCAGACAGTCCATTCTCCAATGCTCGAACCAAATTCTCAAAGTACGTCTTGCTCAACTTCGTCAGCTCATTCAGCTTCTTCTGGAAGGCAACATACTCACGCATGCAGCTTTCTTCAAGCACAAACTTCCTCATTTCCTTCTCTGCACAATCATGAAGCCTCTCCAAACAAGTCTCGGCCTGCCCTTGCAGGTACTCGAAGAACTGCTTCTTCGCAGCTTCACCAACGGGCAAGTAATACCCGTACGCATAAGTCCACTTCAAGACCCTCCTGCACTCCACAATCTGCTCCCAAGCTTCAATCAAGAAATCTAGCTGGTTCACATTCAAACCAAGGGCTCCTGCAATCTCCGAAACCACATTCGTCCTCACATTCTTCAAATCTTTCACCGCAATCTGCCTCGACTTCTCGTTCTCCGCCCACCGTTCGTAGTAGTGCTGGTACCTCTTCACTTCTGCCCTCAGTGACTGCAATCCATCTTTGCTACCATCATTCTTGTACACATTGCAGGAGGCTGTGTGGCTGCGGTCCAACGGCCCCAGGCATACCCAGCAGAAGTGGTGCCGGCATGGAGCTGCACAGGTCATATGCATACAGCCTTTGTTCTTCTCGATCGCCCTACCGCATTTCGGGCATGGTTTCGTGTTCACTTTCTTCCACATCTCGTTTTGAGATTCGGACGCGTTCTTCAGTGACCAGTTCTTCACTGTCTCACAGTCCACAGGGCGGTGCTTGTCCTCGGTGCAGTTCCAGCAGAAGCTGTGCGAGCAGAGGCACGAAACGTCGTAGTTTAGGTCCCCCGAGGACGTGAATTCCACGGCGTGTTGGCAGTTGGGAGCAGGGCACCACTTCCTTCTCCTGCTGTTCTCTACAAAAGACCTAAGGGCGAAATTGGAATACTTTGTCCGCACCTTTTCGTCTGCGATTTTGTTGATCAGATCGTCGCCTGCGAGAACTTTGCAGGAAGGTTCAGGGCATTTCAATTTCAGGGAGCTGGGCCCGTCGTTGACGCTCGCCGCGATGTAATTCCGCCAGCACCAGCGGCAGAATTGGTGGCCGCATGGGGCGGAGCTGAAGGACGATAAGCGGTGCGATTCGAAACAGATACTGCATGTGAGAGTGCGATGATCGGGTCGAAGAGATGTTACCTGTTGAGTTGCCACCGGGAGGCCGACTTGCCGGCGGATTTCGGATTCATCTGCGAACCACGAGTCCTCGACCTTGCTCGCGTCCCAATCGAAATGGCGGAGAATTAGGGTTGTATCGGATTTCGGCAGGCAGAGAACGGCGGAGAGCTGGTTGATGTCGTCGTCGATGCGGCGGCGGATGTCGGATTCTGTCAAGACGGAGTAAGACAGCTCTGGCGGCGGAACGGTTTCGAGCTCGTCCAAGAGACCGGCCGCGGCATTGTTGCTGTCGAATTCGGCTTCATCGTCGGATTCTATGGCGTCTATGTCGGTGTCCAACTCGTCGTCGCTGCTGATGTAGATCAATTCAGCGAAATTGTCTTCATCGGAATTATCGAGGCGCATCTTTTAGCCGGCGATCACACTTATTTTACTGCCTTTGGGAGATGAGTGGGTTTTTCCTTTTCTTTCTCTGTTTGTACTTTGTAGTCATTTTTTTCCTTTTTATTTACTTCTATTCTGTTGAGGAGAAGGAAAAGGAGTCTTTAATTACGGATTTCATGGTTAATTAATCCTCCATTAATATATGGTAGAGTTTTGTGTAATTTTCTGCAACGAGAGTGAAAGTAGGAAGGACATTTTTGTCTTTACAATTAATGATTTATTTCAAATAAAAAATATCAACATCAACATTTGAACCCCTGTCTCTTCAAACAAAGACAACGATTATAACCAATTACACTAAACAAATTTGTTGTTTTTATTTGAATACAAAACATACACTAAGTTAAACTCTGGAAAGTGAATGACTTTTACATCATGATCAACAAGCCCACTAAGTCTACCGTATATATTTTTATGGTGCTTAATACTTCAATGTCCATAGTAGAGTTTCATGTAATTTTATCCATTTTAAAATTCATGCTCTACTTAATTTTCGTTTAGGTAAATTTGTAATTGGCTAATATGGAAGAAACTATTTCTTTTCTACGTGTTGTGTCATTGCATTTTTCAATTTAAATTTAAATTTTGTGCTTTTTTTTATCTTTGTTCTTATCTCTTTATAACTTACTTCGAAAGTCCCTCCATCGTGCAATAATTTGGCCCTTTCACTTTCGAGTACAAGGGCGCATTTGAAAATTAATCTTCTGGTTTCTCTTGGCAGGATAGTTTTATTTTGGGGATTTAAGCTGCGCAAATAGAAAATTTCAAATCCGATATCAGTCCATGACGAATAGAATGAAGTTCAATCAAGTAGTTATGAATTTGAACTTGGATTAGAAGAGTTGGAATTGAGTTTGAGAATGAAAGTGGTGGAGGGAAGAAATTGTGTTTGGATTTGGTAGCAAGTAAAGTTCCACTACAGCAGGTGAAGGCAGAGAAGAGGGAGTTGGAGAGGGTAGTGAATGAATTGAGGAGAGTGTTGAAAGACATGGAAGCGAAACTGGAGCAATTAACGAGAGAGAAGTGAGAGATGATGAGGATATTAATGAAAATGGAGAGGTTATTGAAGGGCAAGGAAGTGGACTGAAGCGGGTGAAGGCAGACAAGGGGTAGATGAACATATTGATGGAACAGGAGATGAGTGTTGGTTTTAGCGAACTTATTACAACTGCCCCGAGGAAGATGAGTTAGCAAACACAAGAAGAAGATTGAGGAGTTGAAGAGCGAGTTGACAAGAACCCCAATTGGAAGAGAAATTGAGGGTCACGGAGAGAAGGTCCATCAAAGTAGCAGAAATGGAATTGTTTGGTTGGAACATATGCCTCTTGAGATTAAAGATAGAGTGGATAAAAATTTGGTCGTTCAACGGAGAGTGGTGGCTATTGGCTCTTTAGGTTTATGGTTTTTGCAGCTACCACATCCTATTTCTATCTTAAAACGAGAAATAATTGATTGATTTACTGAATTAGGTCGATTCTTTATTCAACCTACTGAAACTGATAGAAAATGAGTGTCTAATTTTGTGTCTTATGACTTTGATCAAGTCTATTAGTATATTGGAGGTAACCCTAATTTTGTCGTTTGCTCTCAAGTTTTGATGGTTCCCTCTTAGTTAAGTTTGTAGTATATAGTTGACTTGAACCAATAACTCTCGATTTCTTTTTTATTAGTGGCATGTTGTTCCTAAAAGGAGAGCATTGCAGACTTTATGTATGGGTCGTGTGGTAATTCCATTGAGCTTTTATATTCTATTTTTATCAACGAATAATATTATCATTATGAAAATGAAATCAATTATAAATTTTTTTATTTTATATTCTTAAATGATGTTGGTATTTCTTCGAGTGTTCGACCTATATATAATTAAACCATTTAAACGGGTTGATAGACTTAAACTTAATATAAAATTATAAATAATCAAATATGAACGTTCCGGCCAACGAGCCGGGTTATAAACTAGTGCTAATTAGGATTATAATGCGAGGAAGATCGTACTTAACCTTTTTTGCATACTAATAATAAATACAACGTAATTATTGAAGGGATGAGATAGGTTCCAAACTTCCAATACAAACTATTCTAAAATGCAGAATTATTTGCTCGATGGATTTGGTGAGGGATTTGAATCCATTATGGATTTTGTCCAAAATCCATTGTTTACTTCATGCATTTAGGGAAACAAATCTGTGGGTCCCACGAACTTTAAGGTACCAAATCCGTGGTCCCCACGGACTTGAAAGTTCCACCTATTTAGGTGTGAATTGATTATGGACTTTGAAGTCCATCATTTTTTACCAACCTACCCCTTCATATTTGGTTTCTCTTCTTATATCATTGATGACAATAAAGGTAAATTACACTTTATACATACAAATTTAATCAACAAAATCAATCATGAAATCCATCAAACAAACAATGGTGTTTATCAAATCCATAATGAAGCTAAAACCCTCATATATCCATGGTTTTTCAAAACCCAAGTTATACCAAAATCTTCATTTTCCAAATCCACGACGCAAACAAGCCCATAATGTTATAAAAACAATATGCAGTAAACCATAAAAAAAACTTAAAAATAGAATTTTTTTTTGGTACTCTATAAGGTTATATCCATCGTTGTTCAGGATTTTTGATAGGTACGTGAGTCGTGAAAAATAAAAATAATTTATCTTTTTTTTTTATAAATGGATGCAGCGCATCTAACTTTCATTCACAACCAAACGATTCTCGGAGAGACCTTGACAGTCATACAAAAGGATATGATGGAAATCAGGGATTGAACAAGATACATTGTGGAAGCCTAATGGTAAGCCGTGGCCGTGGTTTGCAAGGAAGTCAGCTCCCTTGTTGCCCTCTCGGTAGATATGAGAAATGGTAACTTCCCAGTCGCGTTGAAGCAGTTCTTGGAAGCGATGGATAATTGCTGCATGCGGGTGGTCAGGCGCGTCCTGATTATGCAGAAGCTGCACAGCACACTGCGAATCAATCTCCACTCTAATCCGCCGCAGTCCCATGTTCCAAGCCAGCCGAAGACCTTCCATAGCGACCCTCAACTCTGCTCGGGTAATAGAACAAACACCCAAGTTCATCGCGAATGCTGCGAGGCAGCATCCTGAGTGATCTCGAATCAGGCCGCCTACCGCTGCACGACCTGATTCCTGAATGACGGAGCCGTCTGTGTTGAGGGTAGCCCACTCGGGAGGTGGCGGCTTCCAAGAGATCTCAACCTCCGTTCTAATGGGAAGACGAGGCGTGTGGGCGAGCCTGTCCTTCTCCATGCCATTCTGCACTACATTAATCCATGCTAGGATTCGCTGTAGGAAGGCTTCAGCTGTAACGACCTTGCCAGCAAAGATGCGGTCGTTCGTGGTCCTCCAAAGGGACCAACAGGTCATGCCAAAGGTAAGGCTAGTATCTTCACGGCAGAGGTTCGAGATAATCCAATCCTGTAGATGACTGTTAAAGAAAGCATGGTGCTCAGAAAGCGGGATAAGCTGCATCCAAGTTAACCTGACAAACTGACAGTCCCGCAACACATGCAGGACTGTTTCTGGGTGGCCTTGGCAGAGGCTGCAATGTGGGCTCGTCGTGAGGTGGCGCCGGGTCCGCTCCTGGTTCGTGAGAAGTCTCTCTCGTGCCGCCAACCAGAGGAAATGTGGTACTCTAGCTGGGCCTCTCCAACGCCAGATCGCCTTCCAAACACGGTCGTTCTGCTCCATGGTGGGTGAGGTCGCTAGCTCGTACGTCGTTCTTACTGTATACCGTCCATATTTTTCGGGTCCCCATGTAGGTATGTCCTCCCCCGACTCCTTGCGTGGAGGTTGTATGCCCATTACCTTCAAAACTGCATCATCGGTTAAGAAAGAGCTGAGTAGGGGCCGATTCCACTCACCTGCCTCTGTGGTGAAATCCACAACAGTGGCCGAAAGTTCAATGGGGGGTGGGGGGGGGGGGGGGGGGGGAGGGCTGTCTACTTTCGCGAGATCTAGAAGGAGATCACCAGAATTCAGCCACCGGTCCGACCAGAAGGAGGTACTCTGGCCGTTCTTGATACTCATCTGTGTTCCCTCCACTGCTATCGGCCAGGCTTTCATGATTCCCCGCCATATATTCGACCATCGCTTGGACGTTTTGGCTCTCATCGTGTCGTTGGCTGTCTTGAAATACTTCGCTTGGAGCACCCCCACCTAGAGCTCGTCCGGGGATTTTAGGAAGGCCCAGGCTAGCTTAGCGAGAAAGGCCAGGTTGAGTTCATGGGCCTTCCGGAGTCCGAGTCCCCCTTCAGTCTTCGGTCGACATACCCGATCCCAGTGCACGAGGTGAACCTTGCGAGTGGTCGCCGTTGATCCCCAAATGAAGCTCCGTATGCGCTTATCAATGAGATCGCAGATCGATATCAGCAGCAGTGTTGTTTGCATGGCATAGGTTGGCAAAGAGTTCAGCACTGAGGCCGCTAGTGTCACCCGTCCTGCAAAACTGAGAGACTCGGCTTTCCAGCCAGACAACTTATTATCAAGTCGGTCGATGATATACCTGTAAGTGTCTTTTGTGACCCGTCCGTGGATGACCAGGACCCCGAGATAGCGGCCCAGGTCTTGGGTTGCTTGAATACCCATATGACGTATGATCTCCGCACTGACGTTCCTGGGGGTGTTTCCAGAGAAGAAGAGAACTGACTTCTCTTTACTGACTAATTGGCCCGAGGCGCGGCTGAACCTATCTAGGCACTCAAGGCTCTGTGGCCTCTGCAAAAAGAATAAGATCGTCAGCGAAGAAAATGCGGGAGAGAGGGGGACCTCCTGGGGAAGTCCGGATCGGTTTCCACCTCCCCTCGTTCACTGCCTCGTCAATAGTATGGCTCAATCTCTCCATGCAGAGTGTTAATAGATATGGAGAAAGAGGGCACCCCTACCTCAAACCCCTGGAGGGCTTGAAAGGCTCAGTCCTGCCACCATTCCAAAGTACTTGCATGGTGGGGGAGCAGACACATTTCATGATGGATTCTATCAACTGATCCGGGAAGTTAATGGCCTCCAGAGTTTCTCGAATGAACCTCCAGCTGAGTCTGTCGTAGGCTTTTGCCAAGTCTATCTTTATGACAAACTGCCCCTTCCTGCCCTTCTTCTGCCCCATGGAATGGACCACTTCCTGCAAAATAATTATATTATCTGTGATATGACGCCCCGGGACAAAGCTGGTCTGTGTCGGATGTACTAGCTGCTTCATCAGTGGTTTGATACGGTTGGCCAGGCATTTAGTGAAAGCTTTGTAAGAGACATTGTAGAGGCCAATAGGTCTGAACTGAGATATCTGCTTCGGACTCTCCTTCTTGGGGATCAATACTATCAGAGTCTCATTCACTGCTTCTATACTGCTCGGGTTATAGAGGCAACTCGCAACAAAATCGGAGAAAGAGTTACCTATGATCTTCCAACTTTTTTGGAAGAAAACCAGGTGAAAACCGTCAGTGCCAGGCGCCTTAAGACCCCCCATCCCTTTGATCGCCCACCAAACCTCCTCCTGCAAGATAGGGAGACTAAGGGACTGAAGTGTGGCCTCATCAATCTTCTCGAAGGTGGCTGGAATATGTTGGGTTGCCCCGTCATCCGCCGTGAAGAGTTCGATATAATACGCCCGGGCGAGCTCCTTCAGTGCTTCTTCATCCTCCACCCATTCACCCGACGAGTTCTTGAGACTAACAATTTTGTTGAACTTGCGGCGCTTAAGGGTTGATAAATGGTAGAATCTTGTATTTCTATCCCCATCAACAATCCATAGCGCCCGAGACCTCTGCAACCATAGGAGATTCTCCTGTCATGGAGTGGATTCTAGCTCCGCCCGCGTTGTCCTCTCCTCGTCCAGCGAGGCCGTAGTCGCTCTTTCTTCATTCAGCAGTTTGAGTTTCCTCAACCGCCGAATCAGCTCTCTGTTTCTTTTAATGATATGACCGAAAACCTCCACATTCCAATTCTGTAAGTCGAGTCCCAGTTGGTGTAGCTGTGCCGGAAGCCCATAGGATTTCCTCCACACCTCCTCCACCACCGAGTGAAACTGATCGTGACCAAGCCATGCAACTAGGAACCTGAAGGGTTTCTCCTTCCCTCGTCGGTCTTCAGGTCTTCCTTGGACTAGGATGAGTCTATGATCGGAACCCACCCTTTCCAAATGCTTGTTGACAGTTTCCGGGAACTTTAACATCCAGGCTCTGTTGCATAAAGCTCTGTCTAACCGTTGATATAGATTTCCGCGTTTCCATGTGAACCGCGGACCCGTAAAGTCAACCGTGAACAGAACGGTCTCATCAATGCAATGTCGGAAAGGTCTGACTCACACCTCCTGGAATCCTGCTCCCCCCATACGGTCCGTCGGGCTTAAGATGGAATTGAAGTCACCGACTAGGAGCCATGGCAAGGAACATGAATCCGCGATCCACCTCAGCTCGTTCCAGAGATCCAGGCGTAGGGCAGTATTGGGGCTGCCATACACCGCTGAAAGTAGAACTTCCGAGCTTGGCGAGCTTTGGCGGGCACATTTAAAATGTATCATTTGTTCCCATGACAGAGAGGCGTAATCCGAACCTTCTGCTTATGCCAGAGAACCCAGATGCCTCCTGTGAATCCCACTGAGTCAACCATAAGCACCCCATCGAAGCCCGTGCGTGCGATAACACTCCGAGCCCTATCCCCACTTATCCAGGGCTCCATGATGAACACAATATCTGGACGTCAAGCCTGGCAATACAAAAGTAGAAAAGGAACAAATTGGTCATTACCTGCCCCTTGGCAGTTCCAAGCAAGAATGTCAAACATTAATATAGGAAAACAAAAGAATGGGATCAAAAGACTCCCTTGTACAACCGACGAGATCCCGGTGCTTAAGACACGATCATATCCCGGGGGTTAGGCTTCCCCAAGGTTGGCAACTCTGGACCTGTAGGTCCCGATGACACTATCTCATTACCTCCTGCCGGTGATTGGCCTGGAGGCTGAGGAGGTAGGGACGTTCCACCCGTACTGGGAATAATGATCTCCCCTGGTCTCAAGGATCCTTTCGCCCAAGAAGGACCCGAATTTGTGTTAGTAGTCTCCTTAGTCCGTTTGGATTGGGTGAGCAAATCGGTCTGCGAGGCTACCATGTTGACCGGTACATCGACAAGATCGTCAGCATCGGCCTTGTGTCGGGCGGGTTGCGAAGTCGCGTTCTTAGCCGCGCCAGTCACTTCCTGTGGCCCTTTTTGGGCACTCGGGGGTTTCTGGCCAGAAGGGGGCTGGGTGGAGTTCATGGGTTTGGGGCCAACCGATTGTGCCTCCTTGACAGGGGGTTCCTGGGACACCGTTTGTGTTTCCATCATTTCAACACCAGAATCTTCTTCAAGGACGTAAAACCGAGACCCGGAGGGAGCTTCACCGCCCTTGCCAGCCCCAGATTTTGCTCCCGGGTTCTGCTTCTTCTTGCCTCGTCACTCCTTCAATACGATATTGTGATAGCAACGGCTTTGTTAGATCGACTTCGACGCATACTCGGGCAAACTGGGTTCGCTCACATGTCAGCGTAGCGCGGTCCACTCGAAAAGGGTTTTCCAATCCTTTGTGCAATGCGCTTGACCGCTTTGCTGTCAAAGAAGTCTAAAGGCAGACCCGGTAAGCGAACCCAGGCTAGGGTTGAAGCTACTTCCGCCGAGCTAGGGTTGAACCCTTTCCTCCAATGACGCACCGTCAGGTAATGCCCCCCGATTAACCATGGCCCTCCTGCAGCCGCTTGTTCATAGTCGAACTGGCTCGTAAAACAAACCACATAGAAGCCATGCGAGAGGCATGAGATTTGGAGGCCACCATGTTTACCCCAGATTGTTTCCAGTCGCTTTGACAGGACTGGGAATGGGAACGTACATCCCAGGACTTTCACAATCAGGGTTGAGCGCCATTTACGTCGATAGCGCTGCTTTTCCATTGCCGGGAAGGGAATCGTAGGGCACCGAGGATTGTCCTCTTCAGGGATCACGTCGTCCTGATCATCCTCACGCATTCTCTCTGCGATATCTTCCGAATCCGATTCTGCGACGTACCAGGCATCGCTAGCTAACATCTCGCTGAAGGTTTTCTTTCCCGTCCATGCCGCCTTGGGCGAGAGAGTCTCTGGGGTTCGGTTAGGCGAACTCGACACATCATCCACCATGATTTCGTCAGTTCCGAACAGCTGTCCAACTACCGACGATTTGGCCCTCTTCCGTACCTGCTGGGATTCTTTCTCCGCCTTGTTGTTCGGCGATGAGGTCGCCGACGGGGGCCGGCGAGCCCCCACAGATTGGTCATGTGGACGGCTGGCCGAGGGGGTGAGCCCCCGGCACCGGCGACGACATGGCCGCAACGCAGTTCCGCCAACAAGGTTTGCCTCGAAAAAGACGGAGAAAACCCTAGCCAACAAGGTTTCCCCGATAAAGTGATATTAACTTATTCATTGAGTACACAATTTCATTATTTTTCATAGTGAGTAACAATTTTCATATTATAAGAGGTTTATGAAATACATTTATCGCTTTTTTTATAGATAAGAGTGATATAGGTTAACTTTTAGTTGTTTAGGAACTACTTGAAAGATTCGAACTTGTAATCTCTGACTTCAAAACTAGTAGTATTACCACGAGGCAAAGCCCTTATTCGTACATTTATCGCTTATTTTACAACTCAAATATTTTTCAATGTATAACCCAACAATCATCGATAAACTATTCATTAATCTGATTAAGAATATAAACTTTTATTAAGTTCATAGTCAAAAAAGTCATTCCACTTCTTGCGATTATAAGGGTTGATTGCACCGGGTGCCACTTAACTCTTATAATTGTTGCACGTTAACCATGTAACACCCCGAATTTTGGGTTATGGTTTGACCATAATACGTGATCGGTTGGATCGACGATTACGTACGAAGGATTACAACGTGAATTAGGAATAATAATTATTATAATAACATTAATAATTATTATTGTTATTATAATTATTATTATTATCATCTTCATCAACCCACGTCCCCAAGCAACCAAAAAGGGAGAAAATTAAATAATAAATAAGAACAAGCCCATCCCCCATCAACGTCTCCTCTCCCTTAGTCTCTTCACCTCTTCCGAACGGTATCATCATTAAACCTAATTAATTAAACCCCAATAACTTCGCCAAACCCGTTAGCAAGTGCACCCTGTTATTCCCTAGCATTAGTCGATCATAACAGCGAGAAAAGGAAAGGAAGAAAAAAAAATATAATAACAAGCAAACCCAGCCTCTTCCATTCCCAAAACCCCGCCGCCTCAATTTTCCCAACTTTCCCCCCCGGCCGCTCGACGTCCCTCTCGTGTCCCCAGCAACGAAAGGGATAAGGAGTGGCAGCTGCAACGCGGTGCTGTCGAGGAGAAAGGGAAGCAACGACATGATTGTTTAACACAATTACAGGAAGCAACCGGAATTGAGGTAAGGACCTCTTCAATAAAACTCGTTGATGATGGTGTTTTCTTTATGAGCTACGAAATTAAAGGAGGGGTTTGGCTTTTGTCGATGGAATTGAGGGGAGGCTCTGGTTGTTGGCGTTTATTTTGATGCATAGGAGCTCATGATATGCTAATGTGTAATTAGCAGGGTGGTTTAAGGGTGGGTTTCGTACCCGCGAGAAAGAGGAGTCAAGTGATGGGTGAACCCAATTATATAATGGAAATAGAAGGGGTGCATGCTGTCAAATGAATAGCTAATAACCTGTTGAGTCATAAATTAAGCACAAGTAAGGCAAGATCAGTGGACAATGACGTGGTGATGCTTTATATTGAAAGGATGAATTAATTGGAATGAACAATCTGGACATGGGAATTTCTAGTCGCTAGTGCCTAGTAGCTTGGTCATCGCTTAGGAAACAGTTAAAATACCTCAATGTTTTGGTTGCACAGACGAGGAAAGAAGTTGAACACAAGTTACGAGAAGGCTTGCGGGTAGATGGTTAGTTCCAACCGAATCGACTTAACATAAGGTGAGTGTAAAGGGGGTAAATTCTACGCCTTACGTGTTCTTTCAAGAATTACAAGTCTTGAGTATATTGATGAAGTGAATGTCGTTGTTTGATTGTGCTTATGGTTGATGATATGTGATTTTGTTTGAGCTATGATTGATGTGAATGTGCATGAGTTCTTATTTAAATTTAAGTTTTAAGTTTATAAGTTATTTTTGAAGTTAAGAAACAAGTTCTTTTTTTTAAGAAGTAACTCACCTTCAAGAAGGCGAGGTCGTTTTAAGCGTATTTAGTCACTAGTGCTAGTCCGTTGCCTTTTGAAACAGATTGAGATAGAGCAGCAGTTATGCTCTTGAGATTTTAAGATGGGCAGCAGTTATGCCCTTGAGAATCGTGGTGAAGAGCCACCACGATAAGTTTAAGATGTTAGGGGGATGAATCGTTACGACTTCCCTAACTAAGTTTAAGTTTAAGGAAAGCCTAGGTGGCTTCTCATACGTATGAGTTGGCAACCGGACTAGCTAGTGAGGGATCCCAGTGTCAGTCAAAAAGATTTAAGTCAAGTTTTGAGCTTTAAGAAGGGAGCTTTAACTCCCGAAGAATTTTTGAGTTATAAGTGTTACGAGTGGAAGTACAAAACAACTTCCACTAGTAGAAGTTAAGTGTTTAGAGAAGAATACTAAAGTACCATAGATTTTATCGTAAGGGCGTAGACTGACCCCAACTCATTCACCAGATCGTAGAGGAGGAAATCCTAACCAGCCAGTCTGTGAGCAGCAAGCTAGAGGGACTCAACACCATCGTCGCTGAGAGATGTCGAGCCAGGCGTCAGAGTAAGCACTAGAGAACTTTTTCCAGTTATTAAGTCTTTATGGTTAAGAGTTAAGGATTGGAGATTCATTTCCTTTGGACAATTTGAGTTTTGCCCACGTGTTTAGGGCTTCGATTTGAGATATTGAGATATTTAAGTTTGGTATTTTATTTTAAACTTATGTTATTTGAGATTTTTAACTATACCCCGGGGTAGAAAGGTCTTTTTTTCAAATTCAAAGAGGTGGGATGTTTCATTTTGGTATCAGAGCCTGGTTGTCCTCTGTTTCTTGGTTCCCAAGAAATATTGGAATGTCGGTCTCAGTTTTTAAAGGTTTTGTTTTAAAGATTTCAAGTCAAGGTTTGGCCAAACCAGTCAGGATTTCTTTTAAGAATTTAGAATCTCCAGTCTACTCTAAACCATATCAAGGAAGAAATAACTGAGATCTAACGAAACCCTGTACGTCTACAGTGCAAGTGTTGGGCCGCAGCTCACACCACCGGTGCCAGTACCAGAGAGGCGTCCACCAGACTATGTAGGGTTCCGGAAGAGAAAGGTGGAAGATTTTAAGGGGGGACGTTCAACAGACCCCATGGAAGTAGAGCAGTGGCTAGCTAAGGTCACTCGTACACTGGCCGAGATGAGAGCTGATGATGAGGACAGGGTGCTGCTGACAGTGTCCTTGCTGCAGGACGCTGCATACGACTGGTGGACTACCCAGCCAGCTAGTCGAGAGGATCCACCGGCCATCACTTGGCCAGAGTTCGTGCAGTTGTTCAAAGATCATTTCATACCGGAGGCTTACCGGATTGGGAAGCAGAGGGAATTTTTGCTGATCAGGCAGAAGTGGGGCAATGAAGGCAGGGAAAGCGTGACTGAGTACACGGCCAGGTTCGACAAGCTACTTACTTATGGAGGGCCTCAATTTCAGGATGTAGCAGCTCAACGCACCCATTACCTGGAGAGCCTGAAGCCTGCTTTTCGCCGCCAGCTGAGTATACTGAATTGGAACAACAGGGAAGAGATCTATCAGGCGGCTCTTCGATTGGAGAGAGCGGATACAGCTCTGTATGAGGAGGGGATACAACGAGAAGGGAACAAGAGGAAGGCTGCTAGCCTGTCTGAGGGGCCAGGACAGCCGAGTCAGCAGAGAAGGAGACCATCCCAGAACTACTATGGAGCCATCCAGAGTCAGGCTGGCTCAACCAGATCAGGGCCAACCTACATTCCTCGGGACCCATGCAACCAGTGTGGGAGGATCCACCCAGGAGAGTGTAAGGTGCATCTGGGAGGCATCTGTTATCACTGCAATGAGCCAGGCCACTATGCCAGAGATTGCCCTAGGAAGGGAGGACAGGGGAGAGCCCAGTCCGAACAATCAGTCCGGGGCGGAGGAGGAAGAACTCAGACCGGACAACAGTTTGGCAACCAGCCAAACCGGTCTAATCACCAGCAGGGAGGAAATCCAGGGCGGTTCAACCGCAATGAGCGGGATCGAGGACAAGGATCTCAAGCATATGGGCAACCAAGACTGTTTGCCATGAGGAGAGAAGAAGCTGACGCTGCACCTGAGGTGGTGACTGGTATGATCTCGCTTTACCACCAGCCCGCTTTTGTGTTATTTGATTCCGGTTCCACGCACTCTTTCATTTCTACCAAGCTTGCTAGAACCTTAGGTATCCCATTTGTGAGGTTGGGGCAGAATTTAGGGGTCAGGACCCCAGTGGGGGATACCCTTATAGTTGACTCAGTCATTCGGGATTGTGCTATCACTGTGGCGGGACACGAATTCGAGGCGAACCTAATTTTACTACCCTTCGACGAGTTTGATGTCATCTTGGGTATGGATTGGCTGTCAAAGAATAGAGCAAAGGTGGACTGCTACAAGAAGGAGGTTAGCCTGGAGGTGGAAGGAAAGGGCACTGCTTTGTTCAAAGGGACTAAGAAGCTTATCCCTGGGTGCTTAATCTCCGCGGTTAAGGCATTCTCATTAATTCAAGAAGGATGTGAAGCATATTTAGCTCATGTTAAGGAGGTGCAAGAGAAGAAGATAGAAGATGTACCTGTCGTCAGGGAATACCCCGAGGTATTTCCCGAAGATCTTCCGGGGCTACCGCCGCAACGAGAGGTAGAGTTTGATATTGAAGTGATTCCTGGCACGGCACCGATATCTATTCCTCCTTACCGTATGGCACCAGTGGAGTTAAAGGAGTTGAAGGAGCAGTTGCAGGAACTGTTGGAGAAGGGGTTCATACGCCCTAGTGTATCACCATGGGGAGCACCAGTGTTATTCGTGAAGAAGAAGGATGGCAGTATGAGACTGTGCATTGACTATAGGAAGTTGAATAAAGCTACCATCAAGAACCGCTATCCTTTGCCAAGGATAGATGATCTCTTCGACCAACTACAAGGAGCAAGGGTGTTCTCGAAGATCGATCTACGGTCAGGGTATCATCAGTTGAGGGTGGCAGATGGTTCAGTACCCAAGACAGCTTTCCGCACTAGGTATGGCCACTACGAGTTCTTGGTCATGCCGTTCGGACTGACCAATGCACCAGCAGCTTTCATGGCACTAATGAACCGGGTTCTTCATGAGTATTTGGACAAGTTTGTCATCGTCTTCATAGATGACATACTCATCT